AGTTTGTTGTTTAATAAACAACTAGGCTTTCAGTGCAAAAAATAGTGTAAAAAAGTATTAGACAGTAAAAAGATAATCCAGTGACATTGGTTTTATTTAATTTATTTTAATGAAGTTCCAGGTTCTGTCCATTCCAGGTTCTATCCATAGGTAATGACAGGAAAGGAGTAAAACCATGCATCTGCTAAGTAGCAAATGCATCATTCATCCCTTTCAATATTAAAATATGAGTTAAAAATATGAATAAATATCTATATAAACTATATAATTGCTTAAATAGATTTATAAAATAGATTATATATAAATTTATAAATAAAATTCACTAGTAGAGAGAGAAGTAAAAATCTACTGACAATCAACTTTTGAAAAAAACCCTGCAAGATAAAAATATAAATAACATTAAAATTATGATTTCCTGTTTGCTTATTTATGTCATGATTGGTTAATTAAATTATCCTGATCACATTAGTCCATCCTTTTTACATGCTGTTGCAAATAGGATAGTATAAATAGTTTTATAATAAATAATATAACTTAAGACATTCATCCTTTAAGTTAAACTAGATTACATAGTTATATAGAGTAGCAAGTATTTTATCAATGTTGTTTCTGGCAAACTGATCCCATAACCACTGACAGGTCACATTTAGCCAGGTCTCCAGTGCCTTTTCATCCCGGCATATTAAATTGCTGCTTCTCTCGTGTTCTGCACAATTTGTTTGTATTTCTTTAAAAACAACCAGATGTAGCTCATTTGGTATGCCCAGCCCGTGGGCTGGCCCTGGCTGGGGTGCACCCGTGGCAGGTCCCTGCTCCTGCAGGTGTAAAATGCAGCTCCTTCGCTCAGGATGGAGTTGAGCTGTTTGAGATTGCTGTCAACAACAACGCGGGCAGTCGTGTTACAGAGTGTTTCCATGGCGCTCCCCAGGGTTTGCAGGATGTTGTAAATGTGGTGCAGAGCACAGCAGTTTGCATGGAAAGCTGGGCAATCAGGTATTCTGTCCACCATGTCTTTGACTTCGGTCTTATTCAGCAGCTGGGTGTCACCTTGGAGCCATGGAAAGACACAAGCTTCCTGTGAGGGAGGGAGAGCAGAGGGAAGTTATTAATCCCTTGGTTTCTGTTTCTCACTTGGGTACACTAGGGGTTTTTGGTTGTGGTTCAATAGCTGTACCAACACCTACATCCCTTTGATCAAGCAGGTATTGCACGCTGTCTGTGGCTGTCAGTGTGCAGTTCCTCTCCTCGTGCCCTGCTTGCCTTGTTTTCAGCTTTTCTAAGTATTGGTTTTTATTCTTTGTTGTGTGGGCAAAATTTACTTATGTCAGAGATCTGGTTTGGCCTGAGTGTGTTCTCATCTCTTTTGGCAGAGATGGTTTTAATTTCAGCAGTGAATTCAGAGGAAATGTCAATGTTGATTTTTATCAACACACTCTTGGAAATGCAATCCCAGGAACTGTAATTTGTCTGAGCCGTTGACACTTCGGTTCAGTGCACGTTTTACCATCTCCAGGGAGAGGATGGGTGAGCAGGAGTTTTGGCTGAAGTGCTCAAGAACTAGGATCAGATTGAAGAGCAAGGCAATTCTTGCCATATTTCCAGTGATCTCACTGGATTCCTCCAAAAAGATGCCTGCTCCAAGCCTAGCATGACTCTGGAGACTGAGAAGGAGCACTAGAGGCAAAGTCAGCCATTCTGCAGCTGCTCTGGCCATTGCTCCAACTCTGCCCTCAAATAATGCAATATCAGTGCTTTTCTTCTTGCATGGAATATAGAGAAGAGACTATTTTAGCTTCTAACCCAGATATTTCTTTTCTGATGGTCTTTCTAGTCTTTTATAGTAACTCAAGATCTTGATTTCTCCACAGACACAGACATAGCACATGCAAAATGGTACTTACATAGTATCCCAATAAGTCAGTGGCTCTCTTTTCTAACACTGCTATCAAGGGCTTTATCTCAGTGGGAAAACGCTTCTGCCTCTGTCCTGTAGTCATTTTGCTTTCTTTTGGTATCTCTGTTGGTGCTGAGGAGCCCAAAGGAACCAGTAAACAGAAGAGGAAGATGGCAAAGCTGTTGATTTCTGCATTCAAATGGAGAGTCAAAAGGAAAAAGAAAAAGAAGAACACAATGATGGGTCTCAACCCTCCGCAGAATTTTTGCAAAACTTTCTGGGTTTGTGCAGCATGATACATTTTCAAAGCATGAAGTTACTGAGCTAGTGATGAACATCAACCAGTGCACCCCGACAATGTGGAGCAAGAGTAAGGCAGACCCACCTGCTCGGCGTTCCATGGTGGGCCGGGAGAGCTGCTGGCTGGGAGCTGGCACTGGAGCTGCTGGTGCCTGCAGTGCTGGGTTGGGCCCAGCCAAGCTGCATTTAAGCACCCCGGAGTCCTGCGTCAGTGGCTCCCCCACAGGATTTTTTTTGGGTTTTTTTTTGCCGGTGATAGTTCGGGGTTTTTTTCCCTTTTCGAAAGATTACATCAAAAGTTGGTTCAAGTGCGTCTTCGCTGATTGTGATCTAAGTGCAGTTTCCATAGACATAGGTGGTGTCCTGTGTTGTCTGCTTGATGAGGAGTTTGGGATGCTTGGCTTAGCCATCCCATCAAAATCCTTGGGCTCTCCAAAATGTAGGATTTAGGATATAAACTCTGTTGTGCTTTTAATATAGACATGGTTGGGGCTTGCAAGCACATTATTGTTGCCCAAAGCCAGCAACCTTCTCCTGCAAGGTCAGTGTAAGAGTGGGCCAATGCAGGGAGTGAAAAAGCCACAGGAGGCTTCTGTGCAAGGTAGATCAGGCCTCCAGTTCAGTGTATAAATCCTTTTGCTGCATGTCTGGAAGACCCTTCCCCAAGGTGGGACCCTCTCACGTAACCAGCAGAGGATGCTCAGGATCACACCTCCCCATCCATTTCACCCATCTCTCTAACTCCCCTGAGGTTATTTTCTATTTCCTGTAACTAAATGCAGGAAATTCTCATACACACCAAAACAGAGGAAATTTATCCCTAGGGTTTGCAATCATGAGCTTGAGAGCAGAACTACTGATGGTTTGGGACAGAAAACAGAGCAGAGGAAACCCACATCTGTGACACATCCACACTTGTGGATGTTGTACTTCCCACCTCTGTAATTACAGATGTGGTGAACGGTGTTCACAAGTTCAAAAATGAGTGTGTGTCAAGTCACCAGAAGACTTTCAAGGATCAACATCTTGGTATCCAAATAATTGGTTCTGGTTTCCATGTGAAACAGTCCTCTCTGAAAATAAAAAGCTTGGGGTGTGCATGAACTCCTCTGAAGTGACTGGAACCGGTTCAAGGACTGTTCTCTGGGATGAACTGATTCCCAAGGCTTGAAATGGGAAAGGACGTTTCCCCTGTACAACTCTGCACTGAGGTCCCACCAACCTGTAACTTCAGCCCTTGATTACTTGCTTGAGGCCGCATTGAAGGAGATTCCCAAACTGCAGGTGGTTCTGAGGGAGCACTGAGAGCCAAGCAGAGGCAGCCATCTAGGAAGCTTTTCTTCTTGCACAACCCTATTCCCAGGTGCTAAATAATGCAAAGAAAGAGATGAGTTACCATGGCCTGCACATGGGGTAGCACACAGTACAGCAGAGTGCTGAGGGAGAGCTAGAAGAGGACAGTTCTAGCAGGTATTTCATTTATTTGAGATTTTTATTATTATTTGGGGGTAAAATGAGGGAGAAGGAAAAAGAGAGATGTTTCTTTGTGCAGGGCATTCTTTAGGAACATCCCTACAAAGACAATGGTGGGTGCAGATGGCTCCTTTCAGGTAGAAGGGTGATCTTGGTGTTTGGAAGCACCAAAAAAGCAGAGAGATGCAGCTGGCCAGTGCCCCACAGGAAGATGAGTGGAAGGTGCATGAGCTTGTACATAAAGAGGTCATTGGGCACTACCAGTCCCCTTCCAGCTCTCCCAGATGGGTACAGCCAGGGAGGACAGACAAGGAAACTGGTCTTCCTCTGAGAGCAGGAATATCCCTTTGTGCAGCACTGAAGGTAATTGGGGGCAGTTATTTTAAATAGTGATCCAAATGAAAGAAGCAGCACTTTTACATCCTTGCTTTTCCACGAAACACGGTTCAACCACTGCTAATGGTCTTTCAGAGATTTTTAGATTTGACGTCGTCTTCTAAGCTGAGGACAGCAGGTTGCCTGGTTGTTCCACTCCAGGCAATGCCACCACCTCTTAGCCTCTGCATGCTCTGTTCATCCTTTCCTGTCCGTACATGACTGTGATAAGCTGCTGAGCTGATAAGGGAACAGGTCAGCATCCGTCCTGTAAAACCCGACCTGAGAAGTTCAGCTTTCCACCACGCAACCACGAGACATCACATAAAATCTGCAATTCATTTGGTGAAGTTCTGCTGACACATGCTGCTCTGTCAGCTCCCTAAAATGGAATTTGTAGCCATTGCCTCAACGCCTATCGCCGGAAAAAGGAAATCAGTCTCAGAGCACGGAGACCTGATGCTGACCTGAGACTGAGCTGTGGCTTTTGTTCCTGGAGCTCACCTATTTTTTTCCAAGTGTGAGAGCTGGTATTTTCAGCTGTGAACTTTGTTTTCTGGTGACCTTACGTGGCTATGGTGTCAGTGCCCTCCACATGAGTGAAGAGCTGGGCTTTCACAACTGACTGGGAACCTCCCTGTTTCTTCCCCAGAACCTGAGTGACTCTCAGGATACAGGTAAGTGAAATGGCAAATGCCGTGTCACAGTTCCTCGGCCAGGGAAGAAGGCTGCTGATGTACCCTGCAAGCACTGCACAAGGTCCCTAGTGGGGAGCAGCCCCCAGAACCTGGGGAAGATCCAGAAAACCAGGGATTTACTCCCAGCCTGGTGAGCTCAGTGCTGTCCCAGGCTCGCTCCACGCTCCGCTTGGAGAGTTTGTTTGGTGCTCGGTTCCATGGCATCCGCGTCACCACCATCTCCTAGCGACAGGGAACAAATCCCTGGCCAAGAATTCCCGGTCAAGCTGGGCTGGATGGCAGCACCCGGCTGCTGCAGCCTCTCGGCTGCTTTTCAGGAGTACCTGCGGCACCTGGCGCTGCAGGACTTCCCCTGCGGCCTTGGCAGCTGGGTAGGGACAGGGTGGCACAGCCATGGGACGTGGCACAGGGCTTGTGGGGTGCAGGGCTGTCACTGCCTCTCTCCTCTCTGCAGAACAAATCCTGCCTCAGTGACCACAGGAGCCCCCACAGGGTCCAGCCCGGGCAGGAGGAGGCTGTGCTGGACGAGGAGACCCCCGAGGCACTGCTGGAGCTGCTGAAGGACCAGCACAGCCCCTGGTCACTGCCACAGGACTGCAGTCCCCAGGACCGGCTCCTGAAGGAGGTGGCCGTGCTGGCACCCGAGCTCGTCCATGGCTCCAAAGTCTACCAGGTCCTCAAGTCCCTGCGGATGGTCAACAAGGGAGTAAGTGCAGCTGCTTGTCCCTGTAAAGGTGTAGGCCAGGAAACCGTGTCTGCCTTCTGGGAGGGAAAACGTCCTGGGAAAAAGGACACCTTCCCCATCCCACGGTCTTCCCAGATGCCACTGTTGCTGCTGGGGTAGAGGCACTCCCCCCGCCCTCCCCAGGATGTTGTGCTAACCTGGGTTACACGTATTTCATCTGGATCAACACGTGTCCGTGTCTCCTTGGCCATGAGGTGGCTCAGGGACACGTTGGCCAAACCCAGCTCTTTGCAGGTGGAGGAGGTCGATGAGGGTGTGTTGCAGTTCCAGCAGCTGGAGGAGCTCATCCTCAGTGCCAACCAGATCAGCAGGATCCCCTCGGCCAACCTGCCCCGGACACTGAAGGTGAGCGAGCAGCACCTCGTGCAGGATGGGAACACAGTGCAAGCCAAACAGCTCCAGAGGTGCCAGGAACAGCTCATTGCAAAGGTGTTTGTTGTCCCCTCTGTCCTGGGCAGGTCCTGGAGCTCTGCTGCAACACTGTGGGCGATCTGGAGGACCTGTGCTCTCAGCCTCCTCCGGAGCTCCAGCACTTGGGGCTGGGACACAACAGGCTGTGCGGCCCTTCCCAGGACAAGTTCCTCACTGAGGATTTCTGGTAATGCCATAGACTGTGGGCTCCTGAAAGGGAGGTGGGCGGATGTGGACAGGTGACCTCAAGCTATTGAGGTGGCCTTGGGAAGGTGCAGCCCTTCAGCAGGGTCACTGCTTTGCTCTGTCCACTCCCTGTGCAGAGCGGTCTGTGTCTGCTCTCACATGCTCAGAGGTTGTCTTGGTCCATGGCCAAGATGTGGAATGGGGAGATCACCTGGAAAACTGCCTTGACACCCTGCCCACCACAGTTCCCATTTCCGGGGCAGCTTCCTTTTTCTATGTCCTCCCCAAAGCTCTTGCTGGGACTCTGCCCAGGGAAAAATCTAAAGCTTAGGCTGCATCACCAAATAATGCAGTGGGGTCATTAATGTTTCCTTAACATGTTTTTGAGTGGTGGGGCAGGCTGGCAATGGACCATATGGCTCAGGAATTTGGAATTGGCCTCTTGGGATTGTACCATTGGATTCCCCAGTTTGACCCAGTTTGTGCTGAGGAAACACCATTTTTGCTTCTGTTTTTGCCCCAGGGCAGTAGCTCCCTATCCTCAGAGAGGTGCTTGTTGCCTTACCTTCTTCCCTGGGTTCTCTCCTTAGGCCAAACCTTATCTCCCTTGACCTGAGCTTTAACAACCTCACAGATCTGCTGGGGCTGGTCTCCCAGCTGTCCAGTCTGCAGAAGCTCCGCATCCTGGTGCTGCAAGGGAACCCCCTGGCTTTCATCCCCACCTACAGAGGCTTCCTCGTGGACAGCCTGTCCAAGCTGTCCATCCTGGATGACATCTACATAGGGCCTGATGAGAGGCAGCAGTTCCATGGCTTGGCGAGGCAGCCAGGTGAGCCCTCACCTTTGAACCTGACCCTGGCATTCAGGAGGGGGGTTCATCGTGATTGAGCTCAGAGTCCTCAGGGCAAACTCTGCCTTCCATGTTGCCTCTCCTCAAATGCCTTTTTACCCTGCCAGTACAAGTGGGGAGACAGGCAGAGGGCCCTCCAGTGGTGTAATTACAGTCGAGGTAGTTTTAGCCTTAGTCAGGCCCAAGAAAAGCCCACGCTAGTCCCAGCACTGCCTCTGCATCCCGGCTTGCCCCCAGCTTTGCTTCCCAGACACCATCTGGTTTCAGACCCTGTGCTTCCCTCTGGAGCTGGTGAAAGAGGAACATCTGTACTGGGGAAGGTGGTCCTGTGGTGCTGCACTGTCTGCACTGGAGCAGGGGGCTGGGGACACCCGGGCTGGGAAGCCCCTCTTGATGGCCCTTACTCAGTGAGTTTGTGTGCTGGATGTGCTCTTTGGAGACTAAAATGTTAACCAGGGAGGCAGAGCAGCCAAGCGAGGAGGTGTTTGCGTGGCTTTGGAGTGACCCCACGTGGCAGTGGCTTGTCACAGCGTTAGCACAGGGTGGCACGGAGGGGACACTGCGACCGGGAGATTTCTGCTTGCTCTGTTCCTTCCTCGCACTGGAAAGAACGTGCTGCAGCTCCATGGCAAGATTTTCTCTCTTTTAGAACTAAGCAGGAGTGAAGCTCGAGTGCTTGTGAGCGTTGGGGAGATGAGGGGAGTCCCTGATCCCAGCGCTCTCCAGCAGCTGGAGGTTGACTCCGAGGCCCCGGTGATCACCTACAGCTACTTTGTCACCTACGAGTTTGCGGAGGGAGAGGAGGAGTTTGTGGAGGGAGAGGAGCTCAAGGACGAGAGCAACACTGAGGTTGGTCCTTAATTGTGCTCCTGAAAGCCAACAGGCCTGGCAGGTCACAGCAAGGGAGAATCCATCTCCAGGCTATGGAGTGATGGATGTGGCTGGGGCAGCAGCAGTACTGGGGACAGAATTCCCATGGGGCTGCATCTGGCAGGACAAGTCCCTGCTCCCCACGTTCCCTGTCCCTCTTGGGGAGCCCAGAGCTCTGCACATGGGAATGCTCTCATAGCCCCCCTCCTGCTGGCTGTGGCAGACCCCTTCCCTGACACTGGTGCCCCTTTTTCCCATGAGGGTGGGCTGAGGAATGGGATTTCAGGGGCAGCTGTCCCCTGATCCCAGTGCAAACAAAACCAGACATGGCCTACCAAGAGATCCTCTCTGTCCCAGGTAACAAAAACCCACCAGAGTTCCATGGTGACCATGCTGGATGTGGACAGCTCTGCTCAGGCCACAGGAGAAACAAAGAACCAGCAGGACCCTGCAGCCATGGAGGAGTCAAAGGCTCGCTCTGGTAATGAGAAATTGTAAATCCCCTGTCCCAGTGCTCAGGGCAAGTTTATGGCTCTTCCTGGCATGTGGTGGCATCAGCATGTCCCTCACAGTGTCAGCTTGGGCCTGATGGATAATGAACTGGCACCAGTCAAAGGAAAGGTCTCCTCAGAACTTTTTTGTGTCCCTACACAGCAAAGGTGTTTGCCACCCCTGGAAAGCCCTGGGCAGACACCATCGACTGCAGCTACACAAAGGAGCACATTGCCAAGGACTTGGTGGGGCTGAAGTCCTACCTGGCAGCTGGAACGATTGTGTCGGTTGTGGAGGAGAAGGTGAGGGTGTGGCAGAGCTGGATGAAGGGGAAAGTGCTGCTGGGAGGCCCAGCAGTGGTATCATGTTCCCTCTGGGAGGCAGGCTGGGATGGCAGTGACCCTGGGCCCTCCCAGCCCCTGCAGCAGCAGCTCCTCTCTCCGGGCAGGTGCTCTCATGGCCTGTAGATGCTGACCCAGAGGACAACTTAGTCATGAATAAGAAGGAAGGACAGGACAGTGCCAAGGTAGGGTGCTGGGAGAGAACAATGGCCAAATTATATCTGAGTTGCAAAAATGGTGATAAGAGAACAAGGGCCCTCCTCCTGCATTAGTTTGGTGTGTCAGAGAGTCATCCCTCCATCCCAGACCTCTCCCAAAGTCCCCCCTTGCCAAGGGAGGAAGGCAGCAGCTGTTTACACACATCTTGGCCTGGATGCAGTGGTGGGCAAGGGTCTGGGTTGGGGTTGCTTCTCTCTGATAAAGGGACTCCATCCCTCTGCTGAGTCCTGTCCCTGTGCTGGTGTCCTGCAGTCTCCTGTCTCCAGGGACAAGAAAAAGAAGCAGCAGCAGCAGCCGCCACGTGAACTCCGCAGTGACCCTCCCATTCTGAGCACCCTGGGCACCACCAGGGTGACCTTGGAAGCCCTGCTGGCCACTGAGGACCTGGTGGCAACTGTGTGTGACTTTGGGGTCCTGATCTCTGAGAAACCACCAGAATCACCAGTTCCAGAGGAGAAGGTAAGGAACATGTCCTCAGACAGGGGGGTGAGGCAGGGCTGCCAGGAGTGGGCAGTGCTGCAGGCTGGGGTTCAGCATGTCCTGCCCTGCAGCCTGCTCTGTCCTCACTGGCCTGGGCATCCCATCCATCCATCCATCCATCCATCCATCTCTGCTGGCATGATTATTTAACTGATACTAGCAAGCAGTACTGCTGCTTTTTATGGGCTTAGGAAAATATATGAGTTTATTTTTCCATTTGAGAATGTGAAAGCAACCACTCTTGCTTCCTCTGGTGCTCTCTTTCAGCATGGCAGCACATACCAGCTGTGCCAACAGTTTCTATTTCCTGGATTCTCTTCTCAGAGCAGCCACTCTGCTGTGCTCCTGCTCCCCCTCACCTCTTTCCTCTGCCCTGTATATCCCAGTGACAGCACCCCAATGGTGATGGGTATCTCAGGACTGAATGAGCACACTGGATTTCAACACAGCCTAACTGTGGAAACGTCTCTCTCCACAGGATGAGAAAAAAGGCAAAGACAAGAGCAAAAAAACAAAAGCAGAAGGTAGGGCCGGCCAGAAAACCCTGACGTCTCCTAAAGGTGATGGAGCCTTGAGCTGGTGGGGGAGAGGGTGGTGTGTGTGAGAGCAAACAGGAGCAGTGCCCAGCCAGAGGCAGCCACAGGGCACAGCCGCCCTGGCAGGAGCGGGGACTTACATCCTGAGCCTCGGGCTGTGAATGCAGACATTGACTGTGGGGCCGTCAGGATGGACACACGCCTGGACACCTTATGAATCAGTGTCTGAACAAGGACCAAGGCTGGGCTGCTGGCTGCCCTGGGAGAGACACACACCCACCAGCACCGTGTGCCAGGGGAGAAGGGCACAGCAGATTTCTGGGTGAGAAATGTGCTGCCCTCTGTGTCGGCTGCCAAATGGGGACGGTGTGAGGGCTGGCATGGGCAGCAGGGGGAGGGCTGCCTGGGATGCATAATAAGCTCCTCATCCATTTCCAACTCACATCTCAAAGCACTTTGCAGAGGGGATTATTGTTCTTCCTGGCTCAGAGATGAGCTGCACAGAGAGTCCCAGGTGCCCCATGGCAGGGCTGGGAACAGACCCCAGTCTGCTGTTACCCATGAAGGGACCACCCTGACCCCAACGGGTGTCCCCTGCCTCCCCATACAGAGCTCAGACGCTGCTCAGGCAGCAGTGTTGCTTAATCTACTGGAGACAAAACTCACCCTGCCTCTTGCAGGTTATTTTTCCTTGGTTTTGACTGCAAAAATAGCAGTGACAGCACATCGGAGGGGTAATGCAAGAGCAGGAGGAAGTGGGGGAGGGTAGGGGTGGTCAGGCAACGCTGAAAAGTTGCTCATGGGTCAGTGAGAGCATGGAGAGGGCCAGGCCTCCCCAGCACCACTCAGAGCTACCAAAGGAGCTCTGTTTCGCTGCTCTGGCATCAGATTTAAGAGTGCAATTAACCCCCTTTCCCAAGAGCTCCAGGATGATTTCTGTGCCCCATCACCCACAGCAAGGTTCCCATCTTTGGGGAGGATCTCAGAGCCCTGTAGTGTCTGCACTAGAGGAAGCCTGTGGCCTTCCCAGCTACCTGAAAAGAAGAATACTCCTTGAATTATTGTTCCCCACAAGAAGATGTGTATTTGCAATGTACACTCAGCCTGTTGCTGAAGCAGAGCAGGCAGCTGCTATCAAACAGCTGAAGCTCAGCACTGGTGTTTCTTCCTTCCTCTGTCCCAGTCCTGCAGTCAGTAGGAGGTTTTCCTTTCAGCTTGAACGAGGGTGAACCCTTTCTGTGGGGGTTGTGTGGCCGGAGATAGTGTTGGATGCACAGAAGCTGACACAGGAAGCCCAGAGCGATTAGAGGCTCCTGCTTAATTTGGTGTCCCCATGTGCCTGTGCAGGTGGAGGCCGGTTGGCTGCACTGCAGGGCCACCGAGTTCATGTTTCAAAGTGTGAATGCAAAATTCACAGTGCCTAAAAATGAGCTGCCCCCCACAGCTTGCTACACCTCGTGTGCTGTGGCCACATGCTCTGATGTGACTCACAGGAACACCCCGATTGCGGCTGGGGTGGGCAGCTCGAGCACCTCTGCACATCCTGCATGTGTCTGCACCTCCTGGCTGCTCTGAGTCACCAGGTTGCACCGTGGCCATCTGGTACTTGCTCATCATCCCCTGGACACCACGTACCACCCTGGAGCGGCAACAGTGGCCACACTCCGAGGGACGGGGACAGCTCCCGGCCGTGTGTCCAGCGAGGCTGTGCCGGGACCAGCTCTCTCCCAGCCGGGAGCTGGGGCTGATTTGCATCCTGCAGTCAGCAAATGCACACAAATAATAAGTCCTCTCAGAGGAATTGGGATCACTTCCAGAGGCTCAAAGAGGAAAGGCAGTGAGCTTTGTCTCAAGTGAACAGTTTGCCCAGACATTGAAGGATGTCTTCAGAAGTAGTCTCACGTACGTCTCGTTTTACCCCGCACTCGATTTTCCAGGATCCTTGAAATTGTTTATTTCTGCATCTTTCTTTTGTCCTAGGGGAATTTAACAACAAATAAGTAGCTTGCACCCAGATCAGTTGCCTGCCTAAAGATGCTTTTTGGGCTTCTTACCCGAAGTCATATTCAAATAGATTTCCCTCAAGGCCCAGCAGTCAGTGCTGACACCAGGGGCAGTCCCCCTGCACGCTGCTGCTTTCAGGGTGATTTACTATCAAGACAGTGGCAGATTTACTTCTTTCCACAGGAAAAGGAAAAAACAAAGACACTGCTGAGCTGGAGGAAGGTCAAGAGCTCCAGCCGGTGCCACTGACAGTTCAATTCCAGATGCAGCTGCTTCGGTGGCCCTTGGCAGTCGGTGCCCAGAGCCAGGAGAACGAGGCCGTGGCAGTGGAGAAAACCCAGTAACGTGTCCATAGCCGAGTGCGAAATAAACCACACGGGAACGCTGCGTGGATCCTGGTTGAGCCGAATCGCCAGAGCTGGGAGATCCCACTGGGTTCGAGGTGGTCTGGTGCTGCTGCTGAGCTTCTGCCGGAGCTGCGGTGGGCGGGGGCTGGTGCGGGGTGTGGAGTGCGAAGTGTAGGTAAGGGGGTGCGTGCGGGGTGTAGGGTGGGTGTGCGGTGCCCGGTGTGCAGCGCCCGGGACACGCTGCCCAGTGCCAGCCCCCCGCATCCTCCGCCCACGGGTGGGGGCCGGCAGGGGCGGAGCGGGGCGGGGCAGCTCCGGTGAGGCGGCGGCGGCTCCGCAGAGCGAGGTGGGGGTTTGGCCGTACCGGGGGCACCGCGGAGCGGCGGCTCCAGCCCGGTCTGCGGGGCCGGGGGGTTCCGGAGCGGCCACAGCGCTCCCGCCCTCGCCGGCGGCACTGGGTCCTGGCGGCACTGGGTCCCGGCGAGGGGAAACACCGAGCCCCGTCCAGGGGGAGCGGCCGGCGCGTCCCGTCCCTGCCCGCGGAGAACCCGGGAGCGAAGGGCTCGTGTTCCTCTGCCCAGAGCCGGTCCGTGCCGGAGGCTGTCATGTATCCCAGGATCAGGAACCTCGCCCTTTACACCTTCTCCATCACGCTGCTCGCCTGCGTGTTTTACTTGAGGAAAGAGGCAAAGTTGGCAGAATCGTCAGCAGACCAGAAAATGGATGTAGTGAGTCACAAACTGAAGTCTTTGATTCTGGACAACACTGAATCCACCAAGTGTTTGCCGAACTTGACCCTCGCCAATTCTTCTCTCGCTCTCCCGGAGCTTCACCGCATCTTCTTAACGTACAAGCACTGCCGGAGCTTCCCAGTCCTGCTGAAGCCTCCCAGGTGTAGCAAAGAGCTGTTCCTCTTGCTGGCCGTCAAGTCTTCCCCGATCAACGTGGACCAGAGGGTGGCAATCAGGAACACGTGGGGAAAGGAGGTCTCTATCAGGGGCAAGAACATCAGGCTGGTGTTCCTTCTGGGGCGCTCAGAGGCCAAAATCCAGGTGCCGCCCCTGCACCAGCTGCTGGCTTATGAGAGCCAGGAGTTTGGTGACATCTTGCAGTGGGATTTCATTGACAACTTCTTCAACTTGACCCTTAAGGAGCTGCATTTCCTCCGCTGGTTCATGGAGGACTGTCTGCACGCCAGGTTTGTGCTGAAGGGCGATGATGACGTGTTTGTCAACACTTACAACATCATTGAGTTCCTCCAGGAGTTGGACCCTGAACAGGATCTCTTTGTTGGGGATGTGATCGCCAATGCCCGGCCCATCAGGAACACCAAGGTCAAATACTTTGTTCCAGAGGCCATGTATGGAGCCTCCTTCTATCCTCACTATGCAGGAGGAGGGGGGTATGTGATGTCTAGAGAGACCGTGCGTCGCCTCCAGAGCACCGCAGAGGACACGGAGCTCTTCCCGATAGATGATGTGTTTGTGGGAATGTGTCTGGCGAAGATGTCCGTGACCCCACAGAACCACGCTGGCTTTAAGACTTTTGGGATCCAGAGACCTTTCAATGCTTTTGATCCGTGCTTGTACAAAGGGCTGATGATTGTGCACAGACTCAACCCCACGGAGATGTGGATCATGTGGACGCTGGTGAGGGACGACAGCATTCGGTGTGCGGTGTCGGTGGAAAAGAAGCTCCCGCTGAGCCCAGCGGGGTTGTGACTGGTGGCAGACACAGGGTACTAAACTAAAAACCAGGTTGTGGTAGAACCGTGTCCGTTACTAACAGACTGTGCTGGAGCTGTCAGGGTTTGGTTTGCAGTGAGTCATTTTCTGTCGGGGGGTTACGTGAAGCAGCTGAATTGTCACAGGGTGGGGGTGGTGAGACACAGCACGGGGGACTTGGCTCAGCTCTTCCCAGCTGGACGGGAGCCAGGGGAAGTCACAACTGCCACAGGAATGTGAGTGAGGGGTCACCTGCTATGGAGGCTCCACAACACTGGTGTCTGACTGCCGGCCAAATTCAGGCCCATGCAGGGAGGCCAGTGATGACTAACGAGTGACAGAGCACTTGAAATTACTTGAAGGGGTGGAAGAAAGGCCAGTGTGTGCTGCTGGGTCCACTGTCCAGGGCAGCAATCCCACAGCTTCTGCTGGACAGCAGGAGAAAGGGAGTGGAGTGGGTAAGAAAAATCCTCAAAAATATATTGCCTTAACACAGCAATGATGATGATCCAAGGGACTGGGCTCTGACTCAAGCCCTTTGGCTTCTACAGAAGGTCATTATAGGTTTACTTGCACTGGAAACTTTTGCACAAAGACTTTCTGATCAGGTGTGAGAGAAGCAATGTATCATGAATAATCACGGTAAAAAGAGTGGCTGTAGTGTCTCATGTTGTGTGGGAGGTGTTTGGTTTTTTGTTGTTGTAAAGGTGGGTACAAATAAAATACAGTTTTGAAAAGTGTTTTCACAGGAATATTCTTGGGTTTCCTGAAAGCTAAGAGCCCTAAAAGCCAGGGAAGGCTGAGATCTGGTGCTGGGTGTTTGCATTCAGGAGTCATGTGGAAATGGGTATTTGCCACTTCCTTTCCTTTGAGCAGCTGCTGGTCTCTGCCCTGTCAAGATGCACTGATACGAAAATGATTAATCTGAATGTGCTGGAGCTGCTAATTTGAGGAAAGATCAAATATGTAACTAAGATTTGGTTATACTTTTGTGAAACTTCTCAGTGCCAGGGTGTCTTGCTGCTAGAGCAGAACTGCTCTGCTGTGTGTGAGCAAGGAAGCAGCCTGGAAGCTTTAGGAAAAAAATACAGTGGGTGGAGAGGAAGTGTGTGATTACAGAAGCCAAAGCCATTTGTGTTGTGCTGTTGTAATTGCTGTCTCCAGTGCCAGATGCCCAGTGTTCACCCCACCAGATGGGAGCTGGAGCTTTCAGTGGTGCCTGGGAAGTGCATCCAGGAGGTTTTTGCTTGTAGGACAGACAGGGGCTGCTGCTTGTCCTGGAGAAGAGATCGGGCAGGGCGGGTACCGTGGTGCCCTGGGAGCTGCTGTGCCAGCATTTTTCTGATCCACTCAATGATTCCCAGTGCAAACTCAGGAACACAGAGCGTGATGTCATGTCTGTTGTGGGTTTAGGTGTATGGGCTAATCCCCAGCTGGCAGCTCTCACTTCCTAATAAAGGATGAGGGACTCCCTTCTGCCCCATTTTGGAGGTGAAGTGGAGCCATTCATGCTCCTCACTCCCACTTTGACTGACTGGCTGGTTCCTGTCGTGTCAGGTTGGATGCGTGTGGGAACAGTTCTTGGGAAGTGCAGAGCGTGCAGTGAAATGAGAAGTGAGGTGACAACAGGGCTGGGAGCAGGCTCTGAAAAAAAGGGGAAGAGGGAGTTTCCTGGCTTTGCACGCTCCTGGCAGTGCTCATCTGCCTTAAGCTCTGTCTCTGCCACGCAAACATCAGAGTGGAGTTACTGTGGCACCCTGAAAAAACACAACTTGTGTGTGCACTAGGGTCAGGGGCTTGGCAGATGTTCTCCAACTGCAGCAGGTACCAAATGAGAGCAGTTGTGGTTAGAGGCTGACCCGAGAGTGCATGTGGCTCCTGAGGCCTTGGCTGTGCCACTGCTCAAATAATCCTCTCGTCATAGTGGCTTTTTTCCTAAAGCTCCCACCCAAAGCCGAGTTTGGGGCCTCCTGGCACAGCAGACACTGGCAGCTCCCTGTGAGCTGAATTCCAGGCTGTGCCATCCTCCCTGGATACAGCAGCACCCAGTGAGCAGCAAGGAAAGGTGGTTTGTTAATTCTTTTACTACTTAATCTATAAATGTACACTGCTGCGCATCTGAGATTGCATTTGTTCCAAAGGCAGGCAAAATGAGACAATCTAGGCTACAGAAAATTCCTCCTCAATTTAGTAACAGCCACCTCGATGCAGTGCATCAGATGGTAATTTGTTGTGAAAAACCTGTGAATAATGTGTGTTTTCTTACAAAATCTGATTCCAGTCAGCAGTGATAAAGTTCTAGTGGATGCTGTTCTACAAAACCAATTTCACATTAGCTGTGAAGTTAGAAAATGAGCACAGTGAAAGACGTCTGTGGTTTTGAAACCTGAAGTGAAACATTAAGTTTGCGAAAGAGAGAATTCAGATTATTTCTTGAAGCTTGTGCTCAAAAGCATTCAAACAGGTAAAACTCTTTTACTCACTGCCTTGTAAAGAAGTCCACGGCAGCTGCCAAAATAATTTTGTTTATAACCACATTATCTTGAAAATCAAACCTCCTTCTGCTTCCTGGGGAACCTCCTGAGGTGTGGTGACTCTTTGGTGACAGAGGATGCTGTGCTGAACTGTAAAACTTCACCAAGAGCCTGAGTAACTCCATGGAAAGTTCTCAGCTCTACAGCAAATATTTCCCCCGACTGCAGCTCAGTGGAATTTGGTGCACCTGTCAACTCAGATGTTAAAAACTTTGAAGTTCAAACAGAAAACAGGGCTTAATCTCTCACCCAAATGGGCACACTCACAATGAGATGCTTTTGCACGTTTTAATAAAGGCATCTCCTCACACACATCATTTACTTCACAGGTTAAAAACAAGGTTCTTTAAATACACTTCTTTGGCTGATCCCTAGTGAGCTCCCACAAACACATCACACTTCCCAGCAGAGACACAATTAACACCAGGCTGTCCTTGATAGCAGTCTTCACATTTGCATAGATAAACGTTTAAATAAATGGATCCAAAAGTATTACAAACAAGGTAAGTTACAAACAAAATGGAAGCCTTCCAAATATCTGGAAGTGACTTGATTTCTACAGCAATTGTGCTTGGGGGAAAAAATGGAATCACGGGCTTATTTCAGCAGTTTTAGACTATCCCACACAAAAGTTTGGGACTGTTCAATTTGTGATTGACTCCCAGATATGCTACAGTTCAGTTCTGTTCAGTCCTCTCGGAGGTAAGGGTCATCACCTGCATCTATATTTCCTAAAATACCCTGTGGCAACGAAGATTCCTCTCCTTGAGCTTTTATGAGCTCCTCTGTTTGAGCTTCAGCTAATTTGGTCTCTGCTTTCTGGGACAGCTGCCTCACTTCTTGTACCTGTGACTTCACGAGCTGGATGTGGCTGCGGGCTGTCACCGAGGCCTGGTCTGCTCCTGGGGGTAAGAATTGAAATACTGGGTTAGAGGGGCACTGGGAAACCTTCAGTTAAGGAAATGACTGCAATTAGCATCTGCTTTGCTGTGTTTGGATGGCTCTTGGGATGCATTAATGCTCAATGCATTTACTGTCCATTTACCTCAAACAATTTGTCTGCTTTGAGATTTCATTGCTCCCTTGAATTCTCCCACCCCACTGGGATACAGCTGGAGCTGGATCAGTGTGATCAGGTTGTGCCAGTGGGTTTGAGAACAAAGCCTAGCCCAGTCCTTGTGTGCCAGGATCCTTCAGTCCTTGTCCTGTCCTGGCACCTACAGCAGCAGGAATTCCTGTTGAAAATGGAATCCCTTCTCCTTCCATTCTCCTACAGATTCTATGTCTTTTTCAGGCACTTCCAGAATTAGGGTGTCCCTGCATGTTCACTGCACTTTCTCCTCTCCAGTAATTTTGCCAGTTTACCATAAACCAGCCCATAACTCAATCTCAGAGCTATCGAATCTCTACACAGAGAAAAGACCAAAATTAGTATCTTTTCTTTCTTTAATACAACTGAATTCAGCTAGAAAGCCCTGCTGGACCCCTTATTTCTGTGGCTCCCACAACCATGTTTGAACCTGCATTTAAAAATGACTAAACTCTTCCTTCAAATACCTTTGGTCGCCTTTGGTCTTGACCTAAACCACATGCGAAGTTTCCAAGCCTAGTTCTCAGAACGCTTCTAGAGACTCACAGCCAAAAAAAGAATCTAAGTTCTCAGCCCCTCTAAAAACCAGGCAGGAGCTGTAGGTTAAGTGAATGAATATTCTGTGTGTCTCAACTCTGAATAAGGGAAAAGGGGAAAGGAAGTGTCAGGGCTCACCTGACTGATAGGCAGCCTCTGCTGCCATCTCCGACAGGCGCAGCGCCGTCATCCAGCTGGACTCCAGCCTCAGGTATTCCTGCTGCTTTGTCTTCACCTGGGAGGAAAACAAGGTGTTATTTCACGAGGTATAACAGCCCCCAAGTGCTCTCCCACCCTTGTGAAACGGTGAGAGAGATCAGAACGTTCTGAGCAGGGTTTTCAGAGGCAGAGGGTGAGGGAAGGGAGGTGGCCACTCACATCAACTCTGGCTCCTATGACCACCTGCCACACTGCATCCACCTCCTCCGAGTTCATCTTCCCAAGAAGATTTGAGTATTGCTTGTAGAGAGACACCAGGGTATAAACTGCCTGCAGAGGAATCATTTCACACAGTCTGCACAGCTCTGATGCTGTCTCACAAAATTACTCTTCATGTACTTGCTCTACTAATAAGGGCATAAACTGGAATGCAAATACTTTACTCAAATTGGTACTTTATTTATAAAATTAAAACCATATCTTGTTGTTTCAGGCTTAAATATGGCTCACACCATTCTTCTGATGAAACTCAGTTTGTGGCCTTAGAAAGGCAGAGAAGGAATAGAGAACTCAGTACACAGGTAAATAGAAATAACTGTTATGAGTTTCTACAGCCCCAGTTCTGAGTTTGAGGGTCCTTTTGGCTTAAGTAAAAAGGACTTTTTACATGAGCATGGAGTGAAGGACAAGGGGAATGGATTCAAATTGACAGAGGGAAGGGTTAGGTTGGATACTGGAAAAACTTCTTCCCTGTGAGGGTGGTGAGGCCCTGGCACAGGTTGCCCAGAGAAGCTGTGGCTGCCCCATCCCTGGAAGTGTCCATGGCCAGGGTGGATGGGGCTTGGAGCAACCTGGGCTAGTGGAAGGTGTCCCTGCCCATGGCAGGGGAGTGGGACAGGATGATCTTTAAGGTCCCTTACAACCCAAATAATTCTATGATTCTATCAGTTTAACCCAAAAGCAACACTTTAACAAAGCTACAACAATTTAACAAAAGTAATTTCCACGTTTGGCGTCAAACAATGATGCCATGGCTTCCGAGGCACCCGATATCTTCAACCCCACACCCCTTCCGTTAAATTAATTTCTAGAAGTCTATTTTGAGCATGGTTTAAGAGGTGTAGTTAGTGCCAGATCATTATTTCCAGCAGTGACTGGTGCCAGGTGTGTGTTCTCTCAGCTCACCTTTGTGTACTCTGTGAGTGCCTCGATGAGCGCGTAGGTGGTCTGGGACAGCAGGGTGGCCGTGCTGTCTGTCACCAGGGACACGGCTCTTCTGATCAGGGCATCGTTACTGAGGGACGCTGATCCCTGCTGCTGCAACACAAGGCATTTCCATGACCTTTACATCCACTTCCATATGGATATTAGTTAAAGACAAAGCTAAGGGAAAGCCTCACTGCTCTTTACGAGCCAAGCGCTCACAGAGGATACAATTCCAGGGTGAGAACAGGTCTGTACAAGTGTTTTTGGACATTAAGCTGCAGCCAGGGAGGGGGTGCCCCCCTCCCACGTTACCTCCACGACGGGGACAGCACAGAGGGCCACCCCCAGCCCCAGGGCCTGGTGCCACCGGCTGCTGGCACCCGAGAGGCCTCGTCTCCTCACACTGGCCAGGACTGGGAAAGCGTGCCTGGAAATGCAAGGGGAAAAGATCAGCACAAGAAATAACCTGTGTCTGCTGGGGAACAGGGATCTAAGAGGAGAACAACCCCTAGAAGCTGTTCTAGGGGAACTAGTCCATACCAGGCTTCTGGAATGCAGCTTGCAGTGAGTGGGTAAGCTTGTTTCAAATTTTGTATTGTTACTTAATTATTATCGCTGAATTATTGTTACTTAAGTGCAAGAAAATAAGACAAGCACAGTAACTGGTGCATTGTTAAGAGAGGAAATCTTATCTGGTATGAGCACACTGCTGGTAGTCAGTAATATTGAAAATCAGGTTAAAAAACATGCTTGAAAGTGGTGTTCGGTACATGCAGGTGAGAATAGTGACAGGGAATATGGTACAATCCAGCGACGCTCGGGCCTCCTGCGGCCACTTTTATTTACATCCCAGGCCGTGCAAATGTCCCCCCAGGGTCAGGGCCTGTCACTGAAACACTCGAGCAGAAAAAGAAAGGAAAAGCACAGGAGCAGGGAGCATTTCTTTGTTATGGAGCAATCTTCCTGGAAAACGACCGGTCGGTTTTCCTCCTTGTGCGCGCTGCGCGGGCAGCACATCTCGCGCTGCGGGCGCTGTCCCAGCACGTCCCCCCGCCCGCCGCCGCCGCCGCCGCCGCCGCCCGGCCCCGCCGCGGTACCTGAGCACGGAGCAGCAGCTCCGCAGCCACCGCCCGCCCGCCGCCATCTTGGGCCGCCCGGCGCGCGTGCGGTGACGTCACCGGGGGCGGGGCCCGGCGGGGCGGGGGCGGGAGCGGCGCGTGCGGGGCCGTGAGGGCGGTGGCGGGAGGGAGGGACGGAGGAGTCAGCGGAGACCGTCGGGGAGGAACCAAACCCTCCAGCACCGCCTCCTAAAGTGTTAGTGAGCCAGGCATTGCTTTATTCTGCTTAGTGAGTCATTCCAGCCAGATACATCCCCTTTAAGACTTTTCACGTCCTTATACACTTTAACATTTTAATTTTTGGTTCCAAGTCACACCATTCTCTTCATTTAATTGGCGTTCTATCGCTTATTGGCTATTTTGGTCCGCATTCTTTGGACCTCTTATTCTTCCTCTCCAACTCTCAGGTTGTAATGTCTTTTTTAATCCCCTTTGTATCTTCTGGTTACTCCAACATGTGTCTGAAGAACCAGAAATTTAAGATCCCCGATGTCCGACCTTCAACTTCCTTAAGCAAGAAGGGAGATTTAATTTGTGAAAAAGAGCAGCACACAAGCTCTAAGTGGTGTCCAGGTGTTAGAAAAACAAATGACTTGTGGGTAGAATTGCCTTGTTAAGGTTTAGGGCTGGACATGTTTCAGTGATCTCAGACCTGGGGCAGGTTAACAAAGTGTGGGGAGAAGGATTTCCACTGATAGTGGACACAGGGAATGCAGAATTTATGGGCCACAAGGACGTGGGGCAGAACCCCCAAGAGAAGGAAGAAACTAATAAACCCATCTCAGCAACTGGGCTGAAACCAGCTCCAACAGGGTAAGAGGTGATTCTGACTGACCCAACAAACCCCCAGACCCAAAACAAGAGAAAGACTGAGCGTGGCACTAATTCACATGAGAAATAAGAGAGTCATTAACCAAAAGAAGATGGAATACTAATTAATAAGAGAACTTGTAGCCCATGAAGATTAATTCCTTTGTTTGCCCTTTTCTTGCCCCTGTACCTCACAAAACAGTAGGAGAGAGGGAAACCTTGTACTGGTTTGAAAGGTCTTTTTCCAGGACTTCTAAATAAACCGACAAGTAATTTCTGTCTCTCTGCCTTCACACTCTTAATTAGGCAGAGTTGGACAAGGCAGGACTTGTTTATTGAGATATTGGTCGTGTTGGAATTGTATTGCATCCCTCCTGTCCCTCTTTAGGCAGGGTGGGAGTCTCAGGAGAAAACTGCTGGGAGGCTTTTAAACATTTCAGGGAGACACAAAGAATCTGCAAGAGCTACAAAAGATCAGCAAAGTGCACGCAGGTGGATACCTTTTCTTTTAATTGTTATTGTTTTTACATAAGAAAATAGGGTTGTGGTGAGGCTGTAAGGACACAAAACACTTGCAGGTTTTGCGCAGAAGGAAGGGCCGTCCATCCCGTGTGCTGGGCACTGCGGAGCTGGTTGCCTCTGGAAAGCCGGTGGCTGCAGGAGCAGGAGCAAGAGCAGGAGCAGAGCCCTCATTTGAGCACCAAGAAGTATGTGGTCCAGCCAGCGAGGAGCAGTGCCCCGAGCAGCACCGTGTAGCTGAACAGCACGAAGGCCAGCAGCTCCCTCAGCACCTTGAGGACGTGGATGGCGAAGGACTCCGGCATCGCGCTCTCCGGCAGGTAGGATCCCTGCGGTTGGATGCTCCTGCTCCTCCCCGGCCTGTAAGCACAGGGACAGGGTGAGTCTTCCCGAGCAGGGAGACTGTAATTCACAGTTTCTCCCCAGTGGCTCTGCCGTGGGGAGAAACCTTGTGATCAGAAGGGTTGATGCCCACCTGGAATGTTGTTAGTGTCCAGTGGGACTCAGGTGCCTGTTCAGAGTCCTCCCGAGCTGTGCAGTGTTGAAAGAGAGTTTGGAATCTGATCAAAGTCTCCCAGTTAGGACTGTTAATGGAGCAGATGGAAATACAGACACAGGCCATGGGCACGGCTGTGTGGGTGAGGCCAGAGGCTCTTACAGAGTCCGGCTGGCTCCTGGAATCTTTCCCCTGTGGCAGTGGCTGAGTATCCAGGAAGCTTCAGGATCAGAGTGGCCACTGATGGTGCATTACCAACAGTGTGTTCTGATCAAAGTGGTCAATTCCTCCAAGGAAGCCACCATTAATATTTAATGCTATAATTGCATCTAATGGAAATACTGGCACAAACTGAGCCTTTTGTTTAAGAATGACGAAAACTGAGGCTTAAATACGAGTTTGAACAGGCAAATATTTATATCTTGTGTTAAAAATAACCTTTAAATGGGAGACACGGGGTAAAATGCTTTAGAATTCATCTTATAGCTTTATTTTAAAGTCATACTTACACTTGCTTTGGAAGTGATTGCTTGATAGTTTAAAATTAAATCCAAACTCTTTCACAAAAGTCGTTGGCTCCTTAGACTTAAAGCTGTGAAGACTCACCTAAAAAATTCTATCATCTCTCCGATTTACATGTTCTTTTAAATTTTGATCACAACTGTGCCTGATGAAAAATATCTACGCTCTTGGTCAAGCACATAAAGGGAGTTTAAAATGAGACTTAAGATAAAGCAAACCCAAAAGGATTATTTGTCTTCTAAGCTGTCTAAAGCCAGCCAAAGTAAACTGAATTCTCATCCTGTCACTTAGAATGTTTTTTAAAGAGGTCTTCTGATAAAGAGTTCACTTTTTTCTGTTGTTAAAGAGTTCAGTCATTTCATTCTAAGCTCAGGCACATGTATATAGTATAGGAATTATTTCATTTTTAAACCAGCCGTGGTTTCCCTGTTGTTCAAGGCACTGAAGTTTTCTATCCACGGGCTTTATGGGATTTCTGGTTATCTGGAGAGATACTGATAAAGAAATGAACAGCTTACCCAGGCTCTAGTGTGTCAAGGTCCTGTTTCTCTCTAGCTTTGTTCTGCAGCTGTCCCTTGGATTTCTGTCTTCCAGGGGGTTTGTGCTGTGGGCTGATCCCGCTGTGATCTGCTCCGGAGCCGGGAGTACCGGGGTGTGTGTGCAGGACTGGTGCACTCACTAGGTGTGGTCAGGGCGGTTATGATACGACACAGCGCGTCGTGCTCCGAGCAGCCAAACAGCTCCCCTTCCCCAGGGGGCTGCTGCCAACAGCATTTCCTGGGTTTAAGCTCCAGGGCTTGGTGTTACCAGGTCAAAACCTGCATTGGTTTAGTTGTGGGGTTTTTTCCTCTAGCAAAATGTGTCATCTTACACTTTTTACTCTGTTATTTGGGAGGCTGCTGTGTCTCTTGCTCTGTTCCCTGGGTGCTCTGTGGGCCACTCGGGGAGGAGGAGGATGCTGCTCACACACAGCTGGGGCTGGTCCCAAGGGTGGGACTGTGCAGACTGAGCCTGGCTCTTTTACCTAAAGATTGGGCTGAAGGCAGCCTAATGCCTGCACTGTCACCAGGTCACTGCTCTGGTGCTCCCCTTTTCCTCCCAGGGTGTCACCCTGACCTTTCAGAGCATGAGCACTGCAGCCCCTTTGCAGTGAGGGGAGAAGGGAGCCAGCATATATGTTTATTTTTAGCAAAACTCCTTTCTGATAATGCTGTATGAAAAGTGAAAGTGTTCAGGGGTAGAGGTGGGGTGATGGGGTTTTTTTTGCTTGTAACGCAGACAGCAGAGAGAAGGAAGATCATGTTCTGCAGATCAAATCTCTTGCCTACAAATATATTATGATGTAGAAAATGGCCCCTTAATTTAATTAGGCTCCCTTGTTATCAAATTATTATCCACATGGTCAGCAGGGCCTTGGACAGAAGCAGAACATAATCAGCTGCTCAGGAAGCCTGTTAAGGAGTAATTGCTCCTCCAGGGAATTATCAATGTCAGGATGGCTTTTTTTTTTGTTGTTGTTGTTGTTGAATAGTTCCAGGAAGAGACTTTCTCTAGGTGGAGTGGCCACACAGCTCAGTGCTGGGGCAGGTCTGCAAAAAAATAGGCAGCAGTGTCAGTAATAAATAAAGAGTTTACCAAGTGTCTGGGGTTTTGCCTCTAGTGTCACTAACAAACATGTTTTGCTGGTCCAGGTGGAGAGTTAGGTCAGCTGGGGAAGTGGAGCTTTGCATGGTTTCCTTTATTCACCTGTGGTGCAGCTTTTACACAGCATGACCTTAGTTCACAAACCAGCCTGATCAGGGGTAGACATTTCCTCAGGATTGGTTCACTTTTCAAAATTTAAAAATAAATAAAATAAAAATAATAATAATAAAAAAAATCTGGAAATTTCGATAGTACAAAGACCCCCCAGGCCAGGCCAAGGACACTGTAAGGACTGCACTGAGTCACATTGTTTCTTGGTTTCCTCTGTGCAGTAACATCTAATTTTTGATCCAAAGCTAATTCAATTTTCTTTTTAAATACTCTGAAACCAGCTACTCTAAATAAAACTGCAGAAATAACGTAGAGCAAGGCAATCCACGCTTGCTCCTTGCATCATTGTCAAAGTTGAATAATTTCATTTGTTTTTTTTAAATCTGCATGTTGCCCACCCACCTCAAGTCAAGTCTCTGAAGACTGAAACTGTATTTTTCTTTAAAAGTCAAGAAATCCCATAGATATTTCCAGTGCAGTATGTTAGGTGGCAGAACAAAATGAAATTTTGAATGAGTTTAAAGAAAAAACATTCAGATATTAAAAAAATTGTTTTAAGTAATTCAGTTGTCTTGGGGCAGAAGAACACAGCTACCACAGTGCAGAGTTTTATTTATTTTTGTATTCCAGAGAGAGAGTGCAAACACTTCCAAAAAAAGATCAAATACATCTTTATTTTATTCTAATAACTGGAGTTAAGCAGACAGAGGGGGCCACGAAGGGGCTTCATTTGGCAGAACTCAGAAAATAAAACAACATGCCAAAACCCACAGTCACAACTGTGACAACTTAGAAAAATGAAGGTGTTTACTGGGCCACATTATGCAGGATAACTAAAAGCAGAAACGTTTGGTAAGAAAGTGATTTAAGTTGTGGTTTGTTTTTTTTTATAGTTGTCTTCAACTATTTAGGAGTCCCCAGTGGGGGCTGTTAAAGCCTGTGGGTACAGTGACTGTGCCCACCAGGCACCAACACCACCCCTGTTCTGCCTTCCCAGCCTCTGGAAGCTGCCTCTTGCACACACTGGCTCAGCAACACCAAGGGCTCAGCAACACCAAGGGCTCAGCAACACCAAGGGCCCAGCCAACAAGCCCGTGGAAAATTCCATTTTATAAGTTTGAGCTCTACAACACCTTGTGACAGCGAGTACCACCGTTTATAACCTCAGCAGGGGGGTGAAAAAAGTGTCTGTTTTACACCCGCTGTTTACTGGCTCCCTGTTGTTGCTGGTTTTGGCCCAAGTCCCACCCAGGGAGTGTCTGTGTGTCTTCAACCATCAGCTCCTGATACACTGATGTAATTCATACTCTGAAGTAGCTTTCCACAGCCAGGTGGGAGTACCTGGGACAAACAAGCCACCTCACAATGATCCCTTCAAGGATAAAGTGAAGTAAAAGGCTCAAGGATCAGAAGCACGTAACTCTGACAAACACATCCAGTGCATCCATGGAATGTACCAAGCACCAGAGAGAGAGAGACTGGGAATAGTGGTATGAAATCAGGAACAGACAACGTCCTGCCTCCATCTCCCACTAAAACTAAACTGAAAGAAAAAAAGCAGCAATTTGCCAAAGAGAAGGACCAGGGCACATCTCCAGTCCCCCAGTGCTTGGCTGCCAGGTCAGACCAAGAGCAGGGATTTCTCATTCTCTCCCATGGTTTATTCCATCCTTAGTGCCTTCCAGCACTGCTCGTCTAATAGGAAGTTCCACAAACGGCTGGAACACAAGTGCAGAAGGGATGAGGGTCACTGGATCATGAGCTGGTCTCAGGAGAGCTCCTTTCAGTGCCGTGTTTCTCCAGTGTTCAAGCAGCAGAGCCAGGACCAGACGTGCCTGTGTCACACAGGGCCTCTCGCTTTACTGTCTCTCACCACACACCCTAGAAAGGGGCAGGCTCCAGTTTTTCCATCAAGGATTTGATCCAGGTTGTTCCATTGATGAGCTTTGTGGTGGCAATGACGTACTCTGTGCCTCCATCTTCCATCTGGGACAGGAACCTCAGCGCAGCGATCTCCGCGTACGTCACCCCTCCCAGGAAGAACACCAGAGTGACTCTGTTCTCCCCGTGCTGGCCTGGGGAGCCAGGGAAAGGGGCAGGTTGGCTTTTGAGTTTTATGTCTGTACATCAACTGTCAGTCAAACTCAAATGACCTAAAACTAAACTACAGAGAGCAGCTGAATTAGGGGGAAAATTTATTGGGTAAATCCAGACCCTGCTCCTGCTCTGGAGTCTCTTTATAGATGTGCTTCTGCCTGATCAGTTTTAATGCTGGGTAAGGGAAGCTGACATTCTTTGTAATTTTACACACTAAAATCACAGGTTGGAGCTTATTTTAGTACTCTGATGGGAAGTTAAAACAATTTGTCACAGGATGGTTAGTTAGATCTAATACTGCA